CTACGACAACGTGGCCCTCAAGGTGGCCAAGAAGAGGAACCTGCAGTGAGTGGGGAGGAGAGGAGGAAAGGACCCACCCCCGGCTGTCCCGGGCAGAGTTATCCCGACCCCCGCAGAGCTGAGACCCCCTCCCAGCTCAGCGCACCCGCGGCTTTGGGGGGGACGGGCATCCCTGAGGAGCGGCGGGGGCACATCTGGGCAGTGCTGGAGCACATCTGGGAAGTGCTGGGGCACATCTGGGCAGCGGCAGGGGCACATCTGGGAAGCTCTGCAGTTGCGATGCGCCCACTGGAGGGCAGTGCGAGCCCACCGTATAACAGCCCGTGCCCTCCGTACAACAGCCCGTGCCCACCGTACAACAGCCCGTGCCCCCCGCTGTGGTCCCCCCGCGGCCCCGGGTGCCAAATCCCGCCCCTCGTCCCAGTCAAAGCTCGGGAATACCAGCTCTGCCCGTCCCGGACCCCCGCGCACCCCTCCAGAGGCAGCGGGAGCATCCATGGGCCTGGGATGCTCAGCCTGTGCCGGCTGGGGATGCACATCCCACAGCTCGGGATGGACAATCCCCAGGGATGCCCGTCCCGCCCCCGAGAGCCCCCGTGCCCACACGCAGCCCTCCAGTGCTCCCAGTGTGCACCAGTGGCCGTGGCAGGGCTGTGCCCGTCTGAAGGTCCTGCCACATCCTCCCTCAGCACCAGCAGGGCCGTAAATTCCTGCTGTTTCAGCTGCTTTTTTATTTTTAATTCTTTTTATAAACCCACTTTCCAGCCCCTCTGATTTATAGACAGAACACTCGGCTTCATTGTCCCGGAGGTTTATCGTGGCTGGCTCTGCTCCTCCCAGTACGGACCAGTATGTGGCTGGACACAGCCTGACTTGCTCTGGGTCCTCCTCCTCCTCCTCCTCCTCCTCCCTCCCCCTCACTCCTCCTCCTCCCAGCCACCTCCAGCCCTGCCCAGCCCTTCCTTGGGCAGATCCAGCCCCTCAGCCCAGCACCATCCCCAATTCCGTGAATTCACCCACGGTGAATTCTGTGTTTCCCTGGCACAGGCTGCTCTCCCAGGGCTGTGCCAGGCTCTGTCCGTGCCCATCACGCCACCCAGACCACCCTGGAGCCCACCAGCTCCACCAGCACCCCAGAGGGACCTCGGGAGCCACCGCCAGTCCCGTCCCTCCCCATCCCATCAGCTCTTTTCCAGGGAAGGCAAAGACAAGCCATGAATTATTCATAATCTCTCCCAATCAAAGCAACGGCTCAGGTGCTTCAGTTAATTTCCTGGATCCTGAAAAACCCGAAGTGCGGATTTTAATAGGGCAAATTAAGTGCTTTTCATAGTGCACCCTGATTAAAGCTCCGTGTCCAGCGATCCGTCGTGGATCGGAGGGGACGGGACACTCGGGACACTCCGCCTCGGGCAGGTGGCCCTGGGCTCCATCACCTGCTCCAGGTGGGATCCCACGGGGGTGCTCCAGGTGCAGAAACACCTAAGAGTGGTCAAAAATAAAAATAAAAATAAAAACAAGTCTCCAGCAGTTTTTTTCCATATGGGACCGAGAAAAAAATACAGAGCGAGGCAGATCTTTCCACACCCTGGCAGTGGGATTCACTGAGGGAAGGGGGTTGTTCCTGGAGCCATTCCAATGGCAGCGAGGGGTTATCCCTACCTATCCCTTCTCCAGACCCTGGGCATTCCAGGATCATCCCCCAGCTGGAGCCACGGGGACTCCTGACAGCCCAGTGCCACTCACCGGGAGCCAATTGCTCCAGCACGTGTTATTATTAATTAATTAACGCTCATTACAGTGGTTATTTATTATTAATCAGTGTTAACACAATCCTCACCTCCTCCAGCCCGGCTTCCCGCTGCATCCCTGCTCCTGCCTCCACCTCTGTTCCTCTTCATCAAGCAAAAACATGGAAACAGCTCCTGGACTTCACTTCCGAACCCTACTGGAAGCAGGCAGCCAGGATAAGGAGGGATCGCTGGGAATGGCACCATAAAGGAATGGAAAAACCTCCCAGACTTCAGTTCCAAATCCTACAGGCCTAATGGGATTTGTGGTGGGCAGGCAGGATAGCGAGGGATGGCTGGGAATGGCACTGATCAAATTTTGGAGGCAGCAGCCTGGACTGGGTGAAGTGCAGTGGGAGTTTTGGTGCTGGAACAGCATCCCCTGCCTGCCCCATCCACGGGGATGGGGTTTAGGGTGGAAAAGGGAACCTGTCCTGGAATGTTAAGTCCAGGTAAGGAGGATGCAAACCTGGAAAAGCCCTTGGAGGGGCTCAGCCAGGGGCTGGGCTGGGAAAAAATCAATGGCACAGAGGGAGGGAAAAGAGTGGAGCACAAAGCCCCCAGACAAACAGAGAGGTTTAATCTGATTTGGGAGTTATTATGGCTATTGAATTATGCTGATTATAAATCATCCAGGAGCAGGGATCATCAAAACAGGGATTTGTTGGGAGCCTGGAGGGGCACAAATGCTCCTGAGCCCCCTCCCAGCATCCCTCCAGGAGCAGGGGGGAGGCAGAGCTGCGTCCCAGCATGGAAAAGGGCATGGAGCAACATCCCAAGGGAAGGCTGGGCTGGCAGGGATTGGAGGGGCAGAGCGAGGAAAGAGGGCTGTGGGCACCTCTGGGATGGAGGGGATGGGGAATTAAGGATTGGCACAGACCAGGGTGGAGAAAACAGGGAGGATCCCAAGGGAAGGCCGGGCTGGCAAAGCTTGGAAGGGCAGGGCACGGAAACAGGGATGGGGAAATAAGGATGGGGGAAAAAAGAACTGGTGCAGCCCCGTGGAAAAATCGGGGAGGGTCCCAAGGGAAAGCTGGGCTGGCAAGGCTTGGAGGGGCAGGGCATGGAAAGAGGGGCATGGGCAACCTCAGGATGGGGAAATCAGGACTGGGCACAGGCCAGGGATGCAGCCCTGCGGAGAAAGCAGGGAGGATCCCAAGGGAAAGCTGGGCTGGCAAGGCTTGGAGGGCACCAAAAGGGGGGGGCAGCCACCTCCAGGGTGGAGAGGACGGGGAATTCAGGGGCTGAACAGCCGGGACGGGGGATTAAAGAGCTGAACGCCCAGGACGGGGGTGCTGCCCGTGGCCCGGAGATGCCGCTCCAGGGCTCGTCTTTCCTGCCGGCTCCGCACACCTTGTCAAGGCAGCTCGTTTTCCCATTACTGTCTCCTTGGATTAGGGATGCGCTCGCTCGGCAGCGCCCCCGCCCCGCGCCCATCCCAGGCGCCAGGGAGAGCTGGAAACCGCATTAGAGCCCTGCCGAGGAGCCCCTAATGCCATTAGGGGGCAGGAATTAGAGGTGCTAAATGACAAGCCCCTAATCAGCCCCGGGATTTATGTCAATCACGCTCCCGGAGAGGGGAGGGGCAGGGCCCTTCATTCAGAAAAATTGCCTTAATTGGGAAGGTCTGGATTCTCTCCTCCTGTCTCGTTTGTGGAGCTCTGGAGCTCCTGGAAAGGCTTCTCGGGGCAGGGGGGGGGATAAATGAAGGTGATGGTGAGGTGTGGGATGAGGAGCGAGGAGGTGGCAAAGTGGAGGGACGGCCAACTCCTGCCTCCCTCCCACCTGCTTTCCCTTTCCCTTTCGGTGGCTTGAGGCACTCCAGGCTGGTTATTACTGGGAATTGGGTCATTCCAGTCCGTGGGGGAAAACAGGTTGGAGAACAGCCCCCGTTTTCCCAGTCTGTGGACTCTCTAAAGGAGCTGGGCCCTGGGCTGCAGCGGGATGAATTGGCAATTCCCAGGAGTCCATAAAGCCTGGCTGTGCTGGGAAGGAAGCTGTAAAAGCTGCGTGTCCACAGCCGTATTTCCTTCACTCCCCATCGATCCTGCGGCCTCTGCTGCCCAGGGCAGGGCTCTGCTGCCCAGGGCTCTGCTGCCCAGGGCTCTGCTGCCCAGGGCTCTGCTCTGGGCTGATGTGTCAGGTCCCCTCTGAGCCACCGGCATCGATCCCGGGGACCTCGGCCAGCCCGGAGCATCTCCTGGTGCTGGGAGCACATTCCCGGGCTGATTCCAGCCTGGAACAGAGTCACTCGTGCTCTTCCCCCTTTCCATCCACATAAATGTATGGAAATATTCACAGTTATGGCTTCTAGGGGGAATAAACCCCCCCTTGGTTGCTGCTCCCCCCAATCCCCCCAAACCCCCCCCAGGGATGCAGGGCTGGGGGGAAGGGTTGGGAAGTGTCCTCCTGTGGGATGGAGGGATGCAGGGGGGCACAGCTGGGATCTCCCACTGGGATGTGGGATGAGATCCCACGAGGTGGGAGAGGCTGGTGCTCCAGGCAGAACCAGTTCGCTGCTCAGGCCTGGAGGAGACAAGGAGGGCTCGTGCCCAGGGTGTGGAAGGGTGGTTGCCTCCTGGAAAGGTAATTTCCAGCTGGTTCTGGCCCAGGGAATTGCTGTTCTTGTGGGATCTGGTTGCAGGACCCACATTCCTCCCTGGATCTCTGCCAGTGGGCTCTGCTGGGCTGGGGGTCACTGGGAGCAGGGGGAGGGTTCCCACCCCCTGCCAGGAGCCCCCAAATCCCTTCACAGGATTTTCCAGCCTGGGATATTTGATGAAGGCTAAAACACCAATAAACTATTAGAGCAGTGCTGCCTGGAGCTCTTTGGACAGTCCATCCCCCACTCCCAATCCAGGAATGCCATTAAAGGGATCACCTGGACCCTAAAGACGAAGGGGGAGATGCAGCCAGATCCCTAATCCCAGAGCCTGCCTGGCCCTTCTTGCCCCTCCCCTGCGGAGCCATCCCGGGGCAGGTGGTGTTCCAAAGCCTCTCCTGAATCCAGGGATTTTTAAAAGCCCTCAGCTCCCCCTGGTCTGGGCTGCAGGGGGTGTTTGGTGCCTTCCCTTCGCCTCAAAGGGAACCAAAATAAAGCTGCGGGTGCTTGGCGGGCTCCTCCGCAGGCAGATTCTGTCAGGGAGTATAAATATCCCCCCACCCACCTGGCCAGGCTGTGCCTCAGCAAGGGAATGTGCAGGCACTCCCTCGGTGCTGATCTGCTGCTGCTGGAACCCTGCAGGACTGGGGGGGACACCGGGACACCTTCCCAGGGAAGGTGCTCCATCCCTGGAAGTGTCCAAGGCTGGTTTAGAGGAACCTGGGAGAGTGGGAGGTGCCCCTGCCCATGGCATGAGTTGAGCTTTAAGGTCCCTTCCAAGCCAGAGCATCCCAGGATTCTGTGATCCTGTTTTCCCAGCCCTCTGTGGGGGCTGCAGGAACAGCCCTGGGCACTGGGAGTTTGCTGGGCAGGAGGACCAGGACACAGGGAATGGCTTCCCACTGCCAGAGGGCAGGGTTAGGTGGGATATTGGGAAGGGATTCTTCCCTGGGAGGGTGGTGAGGGGCTGGGATGGAATTCCCAGAGAAGCTGTGGCTGCTCCTGGATCCCTGGAAGTGTCCAAGGCCAGCTCGGAGCAACCTGGGCTAGTGGGAGGTGTCCCTGCCCATGGCAGGGGGTGGAACTGGATGAGCTTTACATCCCCTCCCAACCCACACCATTCCAGGATTTCGAGGGCTGCTAAAACCTGCCCTTCCCCATCCAGGTGTGTTCCTGGGAAGGATTTGCTCCCTCCGAGGGGATCCCGGCGTCCCTGAGCATTCCCAGTGCCTGTGTGTACCCATCCCTGTGCCACAGGGAGCTGGTTCCTAAAAGCCACCAGCCCAGCCAGTGTCCCAGTGCCTCCCTGTGGAACAGCCACCCTTCCCAGGGACTCATCTCACCAGGGAAGGAGCCGGGGAGCGGCGGAATTTCCACCCTGCTGCTCTCCGTTATCTCCGCGAAAGGGGAGCCAATTACCAGCAGCTGGCGAGAGCCTAAAATTATTATTAATTTCAAACAAAGCATATGCTTTGTGTTAACGATCCTCCCTGGCGTGGCAGAAGGGCCGATCCCATCCAGATGGCTCCGAGTGCCGTGGGAATGATTCATGCCGGGAGCGGAGCGGAGCTGGGATGGAGGGGGTGGGGGAGTGCCTGGATGGGGTCACCCGGCAGCAGGAGTCACAAACAGCATCTATTATTGCTTGTAATTAAAAATGTAACCCCTGGGCACCCCGTGTGAGGACATTCCAGGGTCCTCGTGCAGGGATGTGGCGGCTCCGGAGGGCGGCAGGTCCAGCAGTGAGCTCTCCAGGGATGGGGAATGTCACGGCACCACGTGGATTATGGGGATGTAAATACAACAGAGGCGCATTAGGGAAGGTTTGGATCCCAGCCAGGGACCTGCTGTCCCACCAGACACAGGTGAAGCGTCACCCCGTGGCTCTCCCTGCAAGGAGGTTCCCCCCCCTGTACCTTTGCATTCAAATAAAAAAATAAATCATTTTCCTTTCCATCCCTGCACGTGGAGATGGACAGAGAGGCATTTCCCAGCTTGGCTCCAGGGTGCTCTGAGCCCTCTGGAGCCCTCTGGGAAGAGCTGCTCTGCCTCCTTAACCTGCTGTGGGAGATCAGGCTGGGAGGTGCCAAGGCAGAGCTCAGAGCAGCAGAGTTTCCTCTGGGAATCGTGGCAGTCACAGCCAAAATAACCAGTGTGGAAGCAAAGGATGGAGCCTATTTTTGCCAGGAGGTGGGAGCTGGGTCGCCTTGGCACAGAGGAGCTGCTCCGCTCCACTGACCCTGTGGAGAGCATGGACAGGAGCAGATATCCAGGGAAAAAAAGGTGTGGCCACAGCAACAGGGACTCGTTTGGACGCAGAATCTCCACAAAGAGGGGTTTCACTTTGGGAATGTCCATCCTCAGCTTCCAGCAAGGTCCTGCTCCTCAGGGAGCTGCTCCCATGGGCATCCCACTGTTCCCCATCAACAGATTGAGGTCCTTGGTGGGGGGGCTCCAGAAATCCTGCTGGGTCAGCACGGTCCCTCTGGATTAACAACCCCACATCCCCCAGCGTGGAGCATCTCCTGCCTGGAGATGGGTAAGGAGCTCACACTCAGAGACTTCTCAGTCCCACAGAGCCCCCCGGGCAGGGCTCAGCCCCCTCCCAGGACCCCGAGAAGGGGCTTGGCAGGAGCATCAGAGCTCCTTTAAATCCCACAACTGGAATTGGGAGCGAAAGTATCTCCAGGGGAGAGGGGTAAAAATAGCTGCTGCTCTGTGTCAGCAGCCGGGGCTCTGTCAAGGGCAGGGGCGAAGGCTCGTTTATAAATAGGAGGAATTAATTACTCGAGCGGGGACGTGGCGCTTAATGAGGGGCTGGGCTGGCACCAGCACGGAGCTGCCCAGCCA